AATCATATACTCTGTAAAGGTTTAATTTTTGAATAATATGATTTTATTTATATGTGAAAAAGAGAAGTGATGCTATCACTCATTTACAAAATGCTACTATGCTATTATAAAATCGAGAATAATCTAGTTTTCATGCGTATTCAATATCAAATTCTTTCTCCACTTTCCTTTTTCATTATTATCTTTATTTTCTGCCTGTAGATATTAATGTTTTTTTTTTTTTTCGTAATAGCATACTTTTTTGTCGGATGTAGAGGTAGTAATTGTAGAAATGATTATATCTTCGCATTTAAAAAGTTTTATCTCTTCGGCAATTATTAAGAAATATTACATGAGCTATTTTAGCGGGAAAAGTAGATGCGTTTTGTTTTTCATTCAATGTACTTATAAGCTTTCAAGAAATAATGGATTTGAATAGTCGGCGTACAATTACGATTGATCGAGGGAGGACTTGCGCTTTATCGTCTTTCTCCATGATTATTCGGAGAGCGACGTTTTTATTGCGCATTTTACTAGCCTAAGTTTGCATTCGCTACGGTGCATTGACATTTCGATAGCCATCAGTTCGTAACCTACAGTGATTGTTGTGGAACGATGAAGCGCACAAGTACCATCAGTCGCCCAGTCGAAATTGGCCTTCGTTTCATCGGTATGTGGCCGGATTCGGCCTATGCAACTCTTTATTGGTTGTTTTATATGGCGACGATGGTGATAGTGCAATATTATCAGTATACATATGTTTTTACGCATTTTGATCTGAGTGATATTTCGCTCCTCATGGATTGTCTCGGTCTTACTCTGGCATACACTCTCGCCTTTCTCAAGCTCTTTGTTTTATGGTGGAATCGCCGGTAAGACGTATTTTATTAGTAGATGTAACTAAAAACAAATAATAGCGATTTCGACAATAGGCTACGTCTCTGTTATTAATGAATAATTTCGACGAAATGAAAATCAAATTTATCATTAGTACCACTGCTGGTATTTATAGTCAGTTATTTATAGTCGTAAATTTAAGATCGTCTTAAGATGTCATAAACCAATTATTGGCCGGTATTCATAGTCGGATCTTATATTTAAGATCCATACGTAATCTTAAGATGTCATGAACCAATCAGAGCTTACTTGCATTTTTAGATTACTTAAGACAGTCTTAAAATAAGAATGAACTATTACTGAATACAAAGTAATATCAACGTCTTAAAATATTATAGGATAACTTTGTAATAAGGACGGAATATAAACCGATCCATATCTAAATCTAAATAAAATCAAATGTGTATTTAAATATTCCTTTTGTCACTTTCTTTGAAGAAATTTAATAATATGTACAATACTCGATATATAAGCTGCTTCCTGCAGGACATTTTATTATATTGTAAAAGCGATGAATGAAGATTGGAAAGAGTGCGTTATCAATAATTCGTATAAATCCACGATGATGAGCGTATCGGATCTGTCGCATCGCTGCACAAACGTGATGATTAGTATCAACGCCTTAGCTGCCTTTTTCCTTTCAATTGGCGAGCACTTGCTTCAATCGATGGGCGACGTCAGTGGAGTTGACAATAATTCTCGGGAACTTCCTATAAAGATGGAATTCCCTTTCGATGTCAGTGAATCTCCTATTTTCGAATGTTTTTTAATCGGGCAATTCCTTTATGAATTAGTGTTGGCTTCTATAGTTGGTATGATGAATGCGTTACTCGTTTCATTGGTGAGTTTCCTTTTCGAAACTATTTTTATGTACGTCTTACAATAGTATTTATTCTTTATCTATTTTTATTGCTTACAATTATAATAGTATCCTGCATGTGATTTGACGTTTTAATTGTTCCAATTTATAGATACTTCATGTAAGCGGACAGATTGACATTATACAACAAGATATAAACGAAATTTCTAACAGCAAATACGATCCCAGCTTATCCTTAATTGTTATTAAAGGCCTTATTTATAAACACCAAAAGATTATTACTTTGTCAGAAAATGTCGAAAACTTATATACTTATATTGCATTAATGCAACTTTTATGGAATACTTTGGTTATCTGCTGCACTGGTTTTGTGATTATAATCGTGAGTAATGGCTGTGGATGTTATTCTGCACTTTCAATGAAGAATAATTCTTCGTTGTTCTATTGCAGACCATTGGTACCAACGCTAATGCAACAACTTCAATCAAATCTGTGAGTTTTTATATTGCAATCACTCTAGAAGTTTTTATTCTCTGCTTTGCCGGAGAATTTTTGAGCGCCAAGGTTTGTGAAGAATTTCATATATAAAAAACTTTCTTATTTTTTTTTTATTAAATTAAAAAGTTCATTTTTATTAGCAAATATTAAAAAATATGTATGTTTGACTGATGAAAAACGTTATAAAAATTGTCGATTATTTGTCTATTGTATCTCAATATCTCAAATTGCATTTATCCTATTTTTAGAGTAGGTCAATTAGCGATGCGGTGTATGAGTCACTTTGGTATAATATGCCACCGACAAATAGCCGTATTTTATTATTTATGATATTAAGATCGCAAAAACGATTGACGATCACTGCCGGAAAAGTTGTAGATTTAACTTTGGAAGGATTTACGAACGTAAGATGTAACATTATAAATGTTACATTTTTTGACATGCTGTATTATTCATTTCTAATTTATTTTTACAACTTCCTAGATTATGAAGGCATCAGCTTCTTATGTATCTATATTAAATGCGATGTATTAAGTTCAGAATGACGTCTGTCAGTTGCTATGTATGTATATTCAATATTGCCTCAGCTACAATAATTTTATTATTGTTATTCTTGGTCAAACAACATTATATAAGAAGATGTAAGATTACTTCAGTATAAGTTATTTGTTATGAATTCAATGAATTATTTTTCTATGGTAACTATATATCTATTTTAAACATATCTATAAAATGTTAATTCCTTTATATCAATTTTTTGTTTTTAATTTTTATATTGTTACTAAATATTTCAGATTTAAAAAAAGAAGATACGATAATGCACTTTATAATATCACCAAAAGTTTATCCACGTTTACAATATTATATGTTTATAAATTTTTTTTCCAAATTATAGCTGTACTCACTGATTTCACGATTTAAGTTTCTTTTTTTTATTAGTATAAAAATATAATAATTATTAAAATAATATATATGTATGTACGATTATTTTTACTTTTGTAATTATCTTCCATATATCTAATTTCTTTTATCGGAAATATAAAACTTTTTGCGCATATCTGTGGCATACATGTATTTGTGTATTATAACGTTTTTGTTTTGCATTTATAAACAGAATTATTTGCTATTGCTCTCTTTTAACAAATTGAACACAATATTTATGTCTCCTAATTTGTTATCAGTATTGTAAAAAAATGTATCAAAGAACTTTGATATCAACCCTTTTTCTCTTATGGAAAATGAATGTCTTTTTGAAAATCAGTAATGAAAGCGATGCAGTATATAATCAAAATAACTTACATCTCTACATACTAGCCTTTTTTCGAGACTTTTAATACAGAAGAATATGTCGACAAAGTTTATTATTTTCTCCACTGTCGTAACTTTAGAGGTCTTCGCTTTTACTAGAAGCGCAATACATGAGGGAAAAAACGAAATTAGTGAGATCGGTACTATGATCATATTTAATAGCAATAATAAATTGTTGTTTTTCATTTTTTGTGTTCGGTAGCCTTGCGCATTTTTTTTTTGATGGATATAGATAGACATAAAACTGCCTCTTGAGACAGAACGTAGTTTCAAAGTAATTACCCGTTATTGTACACTATACTAAAGTGTTCACTAATTCAGAAGAAGTAGACATTATCATATTTTTTTCCCAATCGGTATAAGCTATAAGCTTGCATTAGATAATGCAATGAGAACGTTCAAAATATAATTACAATTGATTCACGTTCAGAATTCCTTGCGGTCTTTCAACTGCGATTATTTAACGGTTTAGCCATTACGTAAAGCACATTGGATAACATGCAAGTGTTTTTTTACGCACTAATATCCCCGTATTATTTTTGACTATTTAATGTACGTCGGTTATCAAAGAGCAATGAAGCGTGCAAATACTATTAGCCTGTCAGTTGAGATCGGCCTCCGTTTCATCGGTATGTGGCCGGATTCGGCTTATCCGAATCTTTATTGGTTTAGCTACATGACAACAATAGCCATAGTGCAATATTATCAATATACGTATATATTTGTACATTTTGACTTGAATGATCTTTGGCTTCTCATGGACTGTCTTAGCCTTACTCTAGCATACAGCCTCGCCTTTCTCAAATTACTTGTTCTATGGTGGAATCGTCGGTAAGATGTGTTCTTTTGCTAAAATGATGTAGAATATATCTATATCTAATAAAATTATATTGGTTGTATAATTTTGACACGCGAATATGTGGATGAAAAATATATTTTGTACCTTGAATCCTTAAAATCATGTATGAATAATAATTTTTGTGATTACATTACACATGAAGAAATACATCCTACAGGATATTTCATTATATTGTAAAGGCGATAAATGAAGATTGGAGAGAGTATGTTGTTAATGATTCGTACAAATCCACGATGATGAGCATGGCAGATCTGTCGCGCCGTTTTGCAAATGTATCGTTCAGTATTTATGCCTTCTCTGCTTTTTCTCTATCAATCGGCGAGCATTTGCTTCAGTCGATGGACGATCAATTCGGCAATAGTTCTCGAGAACTTCCTATAAAAATGAAATTTCCTTTCGACGTTAGCAGATCACCGATTTTTGAATGTTTTTTAATTGGACAATTTCTCTATGATTTGGTAATAGCTTGCGTAGTTAATTTAATAAATGCATTACTTGTTGCATTGGTAAGTATACAATGAAATTTGAAGAAATATTTGTATTAAAATATTTGTATGATAGATAGTTCAAATTAATATTGATATACTATGTATTACTTTGGATAATTAGATATTATTTTATATAACTTATATGGATTATTTATTTCGTAACTCATATAAATTTATCTATATATTTATAGATACTTCATGTGAGTGGTCAGATCGATATTATGCAACAAGATTTATTTGAAATTTCTAACAAAAAATACGATCGCAATACGTTTCTACCCGTTATCAAAAGTTTTATTTGCAATCATCAAAAGATTATTAGTTTATCAGAAAATATTGAAAATTTATATACCTACATTGCACTAATGCAAGTTCTGTGGAATACATTGGTTATGTGTTGCACTGGTTTTGTAATTATAATTGTGAGTAATGTTGATCATTTCTTCAAATTTTAGATTCTTGGCATTCTTTTCTTATCTCATTGTAGATCGTTCGTAGTGGCGAAGATATAACAAATTTGATCAAATCAGTGAGCTATTACATTACAATAATACTAGAGGTTTTTGTATATTGCTTTGCAGGAGAATTTTTAAGTGCTAAAGTATGTAAAAATTTTTATTATTTTTTAAATATTTTAGATATACATTATGAATTTTTTATTTATGTGTCAAACGATGTTATATCGGTGATAATTGATATATTTCGTATTTTAGAACTATTTTTACTATTAGAAGTATTGAAATATGGAAATCGACTTCAACAAAAAATATTTTTATGTTTATTATTATTCGGAACATTTTAAACATTTTCAGCATTACTTTGAACATTTTACATTTCATTTGTTTCCAGAGCAAATTGATTAGCAACGCAATGTACGAGGCATTTTGGTACAATATGCCGTCATGCGATAGTCACATTATACTGTTTATGATATTAAGATGCCAGAAACGATTGACAATCACTGCGGGAAGATTTATAGATTTGACTTTAGAAGGATTCACAAGTGTAAGATTTTATGTAAATGAAATTTTTATTTAATATAATTTCTTATATAATTTTATCAATGTGAATAATCTTTTTTTAGATTGTAAAGGCTTCTGTCTCTTATATATCAGTATTAAATGCGATGTATTAAAATCATAAAGTGTTAGACAATTAGAACATTTCAGTCTTAAATAGTTTCATTAGAGGAAGATCGACATACTTTGTTTTTAAAAAAATGTTTCTTAAACAAAAGGTAAAAATAAAACTTTAAATACTCAAATACAAACTAAAAAATGTCTTCTATTAGATAATATAAGCAGTTTGTATATATGTTCCGTTTGTAATTTTGCAATATTTAATTTTTTCATAAAATAAGCAAAAATAAACTGAATAAAATTGACTCCAAAATTGATACAGTGGGTAATAATATAGTTTATTCCATACATTCAAATTCTTTTTTTGTTTTTACAAAAATCTCTTCATTATAAAATATACAAGGGAATGTACATAAGATTTTCCAAAATCTTTTCACTTTGATATAAAACATTTTTTATGTTATTATATTATGTTATTATATTATGTGAATTATATGTATTTATTTTATGCTGTTCTGCAAGATGCAAATATGTAACGCAATAGTTTTTCAAGGGTTTTCCCATATATGTACTATTGCTTTCAATTCCGATAGAGTTATTTGACATTATAAAATAACATTATAAAGATTAAGTTAGCTCATGATTTTTTTCACAGAAACGGGTGTGCCGATTTACACTGCACATTAATTTTATATTTAAAACCACATTATGAAAAAAGAAAGAAAATAATATAAATAAAATTGATTTGAGAAATTACAAGAATTTAAAACGATGTAATATTATTAATAATATAGTCACTATTATTTAAATTATGCGATTTACAAAAGAAAATTGTAAGAATTTTATTTATTTATTTTTTATGTATCCATAGAATTCAGTTTTAGCTGATTTCGTAGAAACAAGCCATAAATATATGAATTACGTTTACATTTTTTTAATTAACTAAAATCATGTTTTTATTAGTAATATTTTATTAGTAATATTTATTAGTAGTATTAATAAAGTGCAGTTAGTTTCTGAGAAAGAAAGGGATGTCGTTTTAGTGGTATGTCAGTATTGACAACTTTCCGCCATATAGTAGTTAGTCATCATTATTAGTGATTGAATGAAATTGCTCAAATTACCAGTCATATAAAGTCATTATAATAAAATTATTTTTTACGATTTCATAAAATTATACTTTATTAATGACAATTAATTGAATACGAAGAAGCTTACTTGAATAAAAACAATTAGGTATTTACAAGAAAAAAAGATATGCGAATATATAAATTTTAACAATAATATACGTAACATTCGTTTTCTATTATTATTAAATATATCTTTAGACAATTTTTACTTTATAAAAATAAGATTTTATTTTAATTATTCAATATCTGTTTCTCCTTTTTTTTTATATTAAAGTGCTGTATATTTATTATTAAATACAATTTATGTCTTCAACGATTATTTATGTTCTTATATCGCATGCTGGCAATTTCATCTTTCTTATCTTATTTCTTTAACATCTTTATCAAAATTACTTTTGGCTATAGAAAAACACGTAAGCGGAACAAAACATGAAATAATATTTAAATGGCAAAAAATGATAGTAAAATCAGACGCTTCTTGGATGTGTCAGATATTTCAGTATAATAAATGCTCTATTTTGCTCTTTCACATTGCATTTAAAAATCTTGCAAAGATTAACGTTTTCATTTCTTCTTTTTCTGTTGGATGTAATTGAAATCAAAATTTTTTTTTAACTAAGTTAGAATTCATTTTTAAAACAATTGTATACATCATACAACGTCTGAATTATTCTGTTTCAGAAAGAAAAAGAACATCATCACTATTTTTGCTTTCAATACCAGTGACTTTTCAAGAATTAATGCGATGAGTATAATTACAATTGATCGTTATGATTTGCTTCATTGTCTTGCTATGGTTGTTATTCAGTTATTATGGAATTATACTTTCTTCATCAAAGCATACAACGTTTAAGTGTGCTTTTTATGCTTATATATCTATATTAAATGTGATGTTAAGTTCAGAATGACTTCTGGCAGTTGCTATGTATATTCAATGTTGCCTTAGCTACAATAATTTCATTATAGGTAATTGTTATTTTTAGCCAAACAACATTAAATAAGTTACAAGAGAAGATATAAGATTACTTTAATATAAATTATCTTTTATGAATTTAGTGAATAATTATTTTTCTATGGTAACTATATAGTCTACTTCAAACATTTGTGTAAAATGTTAATACTTTTGTCTCAATTTTTTGTTTTAACTTTTAATGTATTATTATTAAATATTTGAGATTTAAAAAAGAAAGTGTACGATAACGCACTTTATAATAACATCAAAGCTTTATCCATGTTTGTAGTATTATACATTTATAATTTTTTTTCAAATTCCAGCTCAGTACTCACTGATTTCTCGATTTATGCTTCTTTTTTTATCAATTTAAATACATAATAATTATTAAACTAATATATATATGTATGTTTTTTTTATATTTTATTTTTGTAATTATCTTCCGTACATCTAATTTCTTTTATAATTTCGGAAATATAAAACTTTTTGCGCATATTTGCAATACATGTATTTGTGTATTATAACGTTTTTTGTTTTGCATTTATAAACAGAATTATTTGCTATTGCTCTCTTTTAGTCTTTTAATAATAAATTAGACATAATACTTGTGTCTTCTAACTTGTTATCGGTATTGTAAAAAAATTTATCAAAAAACTTCGGCATCAATCCTTTTTCTTTTATGGAGATTCAATATCTTTTTGAAAATCAGTAATGAAAGCGGTGCAGTTAATATAGTCGAAATAACTTACATTTCTACATCATAGCTTTTTCTCGAGACTTTTAATATAGAAGAATACGCCGACAAAGTTTGTTATTTTCTCCACTGTCCTTTAGAGGTCTTCTTTTTACTAGAAGCAGAATATATGAGGGGAAAAATGGAATTAGTGAGATCAGTTTATGATCACATTTAATAGCAATAATAAATTGTTGTTTTTCATCTTTTGATTGTGTTCGGTAGACATCAAGACTTTACGCATTTTTTTTTTATGGATATAGATGGACATAAAACTGTCTCTCGAGATAGAAATGCAGTTTCAAAGTAATTACCCGTTGTACACTATACTAAAGTGTTCACTAATTCAGAAGAAGTGGACATTATCATATTTTTTTTCCAATCGGTACAGCTATAAGCTTACATTACATAATGCAATGAGAACATTCGAAATATAATTACAATTGATTCAGAGTTCCTTGTGGTCTTTCAACTGCGATTATTTAACGGTTTAGTCATTACGTGAAACACATTGGACAATATGCAGGTGTTTTTTTACGCACTAATGTCTCCGTTTGTTATTAATTTAATGTACGTCGATTAACAAAGAACAATGAAGCGTGCAAATACTATTAGCCTGTCAGTTGAGATCGGCCTCCGTTTCATCGGCATGTGGCCGGATTCGGCTTATCCGAATTTTTATTGGTTTAGTTACATGACAACAGTAGCCATAGTGCAATATTATCAATATACGTATATATTTGTACACTTTGACTTGAACGATCTTTGGCTTCTCATGGACTGTCTTAGTCTTACTTTAGGATATAGCCTCGCCTTTCTCAAGCTTCTCGTTTTATGGTGGAATCGTCGGTAAGATGTGATGTTCTTTTGCTAAAATGATGTAGAATATATCTATATCTAATAAAATTATATTGATTGTATAATTTTGACACGGCGAATATGTGGATGAAAAATATATTTTTACACTTTGAATGAAATCATATATAAATAATTTTTTGATTATACATGAAGGAATATATCCTGCAGGGTATTTTATTATATTTTGAAGGCGATAGATGAAGATTGGAGTGAGTATGTTATTAATGATTCGTACAAATCCACGATGGTGAGCATGGCAGATCTATCGCGCCGTTTTGCTAATGTATCGTTTAGTATTTATGCTTTCTCTGCTTTCTTTTTATCAATTGGCGAGCATTTGCTTCAGTCGATGGATGATCAATTTGGCAATAGTTCTCGAGAACTTCCTATAAAAATGGAATTTCCTTTCGATGTCAGCAAATCTCCGATTTTCGAATGTTTTTTAATTGGACAGTTTCTTTATGATTTGGTGATAGCTTCTGTGGTTAATTTAATAAACGCATTACTTGTTGCATTGGTAAGTATATTATGCGATTTGTAAATTAAAATATTTGTATGATATCTGTTAACAGTCCGATGCGATCTGTTCAAATTAATATTGAAACTACATATTACTTTGGATAATTAGATATTACTACATATTACTTTATATAATTTATATGGATTATTTATTCGGTAACTCGTACTTATTTATAAAATATTTATAGATACTTCATGTGAGTGGTCAGATCGATATCATGCAACAAGACTTATTTGAAATTTCTAACAAAAAATACGATCACAGTACATTTCTACCTGTTATCAAAAATCTTATCTGCAAGCATCAAAAGATTATTACTTTATCAGAAAGTATCGAAAATTTGTATACCTACATTGCACTGATGCAAGTTTTGTGGAATACGTTGGTTATGTGTTGCACTGGTTTTGTGATTATAATTGTGAGTAATATTCATCATTTCTTCACGTTTCGTATTAGGTAATGATGTTCTTTTCATATTTTATTGCAGGTCGTTAGTAGCGGTGAAGATACAACAAATTTAATTAAATCAGTGAGCTATTACTTTGCGATAATGCTAGAGGTTTTTGTATATTGTTTTGCAGGAGAATTTTTAAGTGCCAAAGTACGTAAAAATATTTTTACTATTTTTTAGTGTTTCAGATATACATCATTGATGAATTTTTTTATTTATGTTGCATCAAACATTATTTGACTATATATTATGTAATTTGTATTAATATATTATGTAATTTTAATTTTTAAAACTATTTTTTTTTTAAAGATATTTGAATGGAAATCTACATCAAAAAGTATTTTTAAGTTTATTAATACTTGGAACGTTGTAAACATTTTGAACGTTACTCTGAATATTTTAACTTTCATCCTATTTCCAGAGCAAGTCGATTAGCAATTCAGCGTACGAGGCACTTTGGTACAATATGCCGCCAAGCGACAGTCGTATTATACTGTTTATGATATTAAGATGTCAAAAGCGATTGACAATCACTGCAGGAAGATTTATGGATTTGACTTTAGAAGGATTCACAAGTGTAAGACATTATGTTGTAAATGAAATTTTTATTTAATATAATTCCTTACATAATTTTATGAATTGTGAATAATTTTCTTTTAGATTGTAAAGGCTTCTGTCTCCTATATATCAGTATTAAATGCAATGTATTAAAATTAGAAAGGTGTTAGACAATTAGAACATCTCAGCCTGAATAGTTTCATTAATAGTTAGTCATCATTATTCTTGATTGAATAAGGTTGCACAAATTAGCAGTCATATAAAATCATTTTAGTAATGATAATTTTTTACGATTTTGTAAAATTGTGCTTTATTAATGACAATTAATTAAATATGAAGTATATTTCTTTCTTAAAGTTATAAAAACTATTACGTATTTGGAGAAGAAAAGATATGTGAATATGTATGTTAATAATAATATACGTAACATTTGTTTTCTGTAATTATTAAATATATCTTTATAGATAATTTTAATTTTATAAAAATAAAATCTTATTTTAATTACCCAATATCTGTTTCTCCTTTTCTTCATATTAATGTTGTACATTTATCATTACAATTTACGCTTTTGACAATTACTTATGTTTTTACATCATATACATTTACATCATATAATTTCATCTTTCTTTTCTTGTTTCTTTACCGTCATTATCGAAATCATCTATGGAAAAATCTGTAAGCGGAACAAAATATGAATTAATATACGTATAAGTAAAAAACTCAAAATGACAGTAAAGTCGCTTCTCGCAGATATGCCAGATATTTTACTATATGTCAGATATATACTACTATAATAAATTATCTATTTTTCTTTTACTTTTACATTTAAAAATCTCGCAAACATTAACGTTTTCATTTCTTCTTTCGATTCTTTTTCTGTTGGATATATCTAAAGTTAAAACTTTTTTTAGCCAAGCTAGAAATTTATTTTTAAAACAATTTATATTATTACAACTTTTGAACCGTTCTGTGTCAGAAGGAAAAAGAACATAATCGTTGTTTTATGTTTTTAATATCTGTGAACTTTCAAAAATTAATGCAATGAGTACAATTATACTTGATCATTACGATCTGCTCTTCATCATCTATACTATACTTATTATTCAGTATTACTTTGCCGTCATCACGCAAAGCATATGATGTACTTTTTATGCGTGTTGTGACGGTTTATACGTTATTTTTAAGAAAATGATAACGTTGATTCTTAGCCAAGATTGACCTTTGTTTTATCTGTATGTGACTGACTTATCTGAAGCTTGAATGATTCATTTGTATGACAATAATTCAATAGTGCAATATTATCAAGATGCATATATATTTGCATATTTTGATTTAAACAATTTTTGGCCCAGACAATCTTCGTCTTACTCTGGGGTATGGCGCTTTTCTTAAGCTCTTTGTTCTTATATATATTATATAGAATATATATATTATATAGAATTGTCGGTAAAATGCGTTCTTTTATGAAAATGATAAAAGCAGAAAGTATTTATATCTAGTGTCAATATAATTATACTTTAATATAATTTTATTGTTATTAATGATTCGTATAAAAGTCTACAATGATCGTGATGGCATTATTGATCCGTTTTGTTAATATAACATTCAGTATGTATGCTTTCGTTGCTTTTTTTGTCATTTAACGAGCATTTGATTCAATTAATGAACATTAATTTTTGAATGTTTTGTTTATTAATTAGACAATTTTTTTATGATTCGCTGATAGCTTCTTAAATTTGTTAGTTAAATTGGTTAGTTCGATAAATCCGTTATTTGTTATTAACAAATATACACTGAAAAAAATTCTTTAAATAGGTATCAAAAATCGAATAAATATTTATTTTCTGTAAGCAATTAGTTCCATTGATACTATCTAAACAAATATTTGTTGAAATTTCGTAAAAATTTTTTTTTATAATGTAATATAATGTTATTCGAAGAAATTGTAAAATTTCAATGGTTATTTGAATGTTTATTTATCAATAATCCATTAAAAATAATTAACATAAATACAATACGACCTGTTTGAATTAATATAATATTAAGATAAAGTATTATTTTAAATAATTAAATATTATTGTATACAGTTTGTATAGATATTTTATGTGAGATTAATATTATGCAATAAGACTTAATTAAAATTTAAAAATAACAATCTCAGCACATTTCTACTTGTTACCAAAAGATTCAAAAATTTATTACTTTATTGAAAAATATAGAGAATCTGTTGCATTGATACAAGTTCTGTAGAATATATTGGTAATGTGTGGCACTAGTGATTTTAATTGTAAGTAATGTTGATTGGTTTCTTAGTTTTTGATAATTTTATTCTTATCTTATTCTAAATGAGAAATAATAATGGAATCGACATCGAATCAATGGATCGATTCGACATCGAATTAACATTAAATGCAATTAAAATTAGAGAAATTTTTAATGATTGGAATTTCTCAACCTAAATAGTTTTATCAATAGCGAGTCGTTACTATTATTTATTTCTTGCAAATTTTGAGACATTTAAGTATAAATTATTCTTAATAAATTTATCGAATAACTATGTCTTATTGGTTTACTTATTATGGTTTACTTTTACTATATAAATTTTTTATTTACAGTTTATTTTTTAGTTAAAAAAAGTTGTTAGATAGTTAAAAAAGAAATTGCATACAAATAAACGTTTTAACAACACTATAATAAAATTTCCTTTCATA